GTTTCATAACATGTCGCTTAGATATTTAATATATGATATCGAACAGTTTATACGCTTTTGAAACTGACACCGGCTTAACCGAATACTTTACGTTGTAAGAGTTATCTCCTAAAACACTATTTTTCTTGTGGCCACTACTCCTTCGCAACCGTAAAAGATTACGACAAATTTATTTTACCAAATTGCTCGCTGTATCTTCAGGATGTTGAGTTTGGTTTTCACCGAAGCGTTTCGGAGACTCCATATGAGAGTTATTTCCCCTTTTGCATTTGATATAAGTGATATGCATTTCTAACTTGTAAGCCATAAGTGATAGAGACCTAGGGTCTTTTGATTTGAGGTCCTTGGTCTAAAAAAAAAGAAAATTTGGTCAAGGTTAAAGGTCAAGGTCATATTCTTAATTTTGATTTTGGCTTATTTTCACTTCTTTTCAAAAACCGTATAAGATATCGACAACATATTATTACTAAATTGTTAGTTGCGACATGTCGTAACACATACATTTTGGTTTAACGGTGCGTAGACATTAAATTAGAGTTTTCTCCCCTCTTGTATTTAAAAATACGCGTATGGTGATATAACTATTTAACCATATATAACTAAGACCTAGGGTGTTTTGATTAGAGGTCCTTGGTTTATGACCTTGAAATTGAGCTCAAGGTCATAGGTAAATTTGACGTTCTAGATTTTGACCTTTGCTTTTAACTCATATGTATACATGATAAAGCCATGGGACTTTTTGCATTAGGTTGCAAGCCATTTGACCTTGAAAAATCAAACCTGAAATGACCTTGTGTAAACCGGAAGTAGCTATTTTTTGTACTTATTTAATATAAAAGTATATAGAACCATATATTTTTGAAATCAGTGTCAAGTAAACATTCAAATTATACCGGAAGTAACATTTTTCAAACTGGAAGTAACAAATTATCTCTCTTATTTAAAAAAAAATGTAAAGAAACCATATATTTTTGGAATCAGCGTACAATAAGCTATCATTTGACGCTGGAAATGACATTTTAAACCGAATTTTAATATTTTTATATCAAAATAGATCTTTATGGGTGGAAAGACCTTCAATTGTTCTCTGAACAATTGGTTTTTAATTTTTTTTTTTTCTTCTGCATAATTTTTTTCTTGCGTAGTATTGCTGTTTCATAAGATGTCGCTTAGATATTTGGTATATGATATCGAACAGTTTATACGCTTTTAAAACTGACAACCACGTAACCAAATACCTTACGTTGTAAGAGTTATCTACCCAAACACTGTTTTTCTTGTGGCCACTACTCCTTCGCAACCGTAAAAGATTATGACAAATTTATTTTACTAAATTGCTCGTTACATCTTCAGGATGTTGAGTTTGGTTTTCACTGAAGCGTTCTGGAGACTCCATATGAGAGTTATTTCCCCTTATGCATTCGATATAAGTGATATGCATTTCTAACTAGTAAACCATAAGTGATAGAGACCTAGGGTTTTTTGATTTGAGGTCCTTAGTCCAAAAAAAAGAAAATTAGGTTAAGGTCAAAGGTCAAGGTCATATTCTAAATTTTGATTTTGGCTTATTTTCACTTGTTTTCAAAAACCGTATAAGATATTGACAACATATTATTACTAAATTGTTAGTTTCGAGATGTCGTAACACATACATTTTGATTTAAAGGGTGCGCAAACATTAAATTAGAGTTTTCTCTCCTCTTGTATTTAAAAATACGCGTATGGTGATATTACTCATTAACCATATATAACTAAGACCTAGGTTCTTTTGATTAGAGGTCCTTGGTTTGTGACCTTGAAATTGAAGTCAAGGTCAAAGGTTAATAGGACGTTCTAGATTTTGACCTTTGCTTTAAATTCATATTTATACATCATAAAGCCATAGGAACTGACATTTTAGACTGATTTTCAATATTTTTATATCAAAATAGATCTTTACTGGTGGAAAGACCTTCAATTGTTCTGTGAACAATTGGTTTTTAATTATTATTTTTTTATCTTCCGCCTAATTCTTTTCTTGCGTAGTTTTGTTGTTTCATAAGATGTCGCTTAGATATTTGGAATATGATATCGTATAGTTTATACGCTTTTAAAACTGACAACTGCGTAACCAAATACCTAACGTTGTAAGAGTTATCTCCCCAAACACTGTTTTTCTTGTGGCCACTACTCCTTCGCAAATGTAAAAGATTACGACAAATTTATTTTACCAAATTGCTCGTTACATCTTCAGGATTAGGATTTTTATTTTGACCGAAGCTATCTGGAGACTCCTTATGAGAGTTATCCCCCCTTATGTATTTGATATAAGTGATATGCGTTTCTAACTGGTAAACCATAAGTGATATGAGCCTAGGGTCTTTGGATTTGAGGTCCTTGGCCCAAAAAAAAAGGAAATTAGGTCAAGGTCAAAGGTCAAGGTCATATTCTAAATTTTGATTTTGGCTTATTCTCACTTCTTTTCAAAAACCGTATAACATATCGACATCTTCTTTTTACTAAATTGTTAGTTGCGACATGTCGTAACTTATAAATTTTGGTTGAAAGGGTGCGTAGACAATAAATGGGAGTTTTCGCCCATCTTATATTTAGAATTATGCGTTAAGTGGTATAACTCATTAACCAAACATATTAAAGACCTAGGGTCTTTTGATTTGAGGTCCTTAGTTTGTGACCTTGAAATTGAAGTCAGGTCATAGGTTAAAAGGACGTTCTAGATTTTGACCTTTGCTTTAAATTCATATTTATACATCATAAAGCCATAGGAACTGACATTTTAGATCGATTTTTAATATTTTAATATCAAAATAGATCTTTACTGGTGGAAAGACCTTCAATTGTTCTGTGAACAATTGGTTTTTAATTGTGTTAGTTTGTGTTCCGGTTTTTCTGGGTCAACAAAATTAACAGAAGTGTAAATGCTACATGTTAAGAAAGATGGTAAGAGAAATTCGTTACACAGTGTGATTGTGACCTTTTACGATATATATATGATGTCAATAAATATTTCACTAGGACACTGTATAACTAATAATGTCGATAGATTTGAAAATGTAAATAGATCATGAGGGTTTTTAATTTTCGTCTTAATTTCATTACATAACAAAACAAAAATGGTTATCTCTTCTTTGTTTAAGATGGAAGACGATACCAATAGTTTCTTTTGATCAATGAGTCCAAAGAAATGAAGACACATAACGAACCATAGGAAATCGCATGTGATCAGGACGGACATTTCATCTTTTACAATGTTTAACATTAACAACTTCTGTACTCTATTTGTGACATGTTTACCTATTATAACGGTTTATTTTGTTCACACATAGTTGTCAATATAATGGAATTTGATGCGACTGTCATACAAGTGAGAGGTTTATCCGCTTTAAAACCAGTTTTAATTCACCATTTTCTCCATAAGAAAATGCCTGTACGTTGTCAGGAATATGACAGTTGTTATCCGTTCGTTTGATGTGTTTGAGCTTTTGATTTTGCCATTTGATTCGGGATTTTCCTTTTTGAATTTTCCTCGGAGTTCAGTATTTTTGTGATTTTATTTTCCACTAATTAGGCAACATTCCAAGTAGGATATAGGTCTCCAAGTTGATAAGATATCACAAGTGTTGTATTAAACTAATAACTAAACAAGATGACATTAGACAGGTGATTTATCATTTCGAGTGCAAAATCTTATTCAAGTAAATCATTTCTTAAAGTATTGAACAGATTAAAGCATAAAATGCCTGGACAAGTATTTGATTTTAAACAAAACAAATCTTTTTATAAAAACAAATATTTTCACAAGTATTTGATTCTTTTTGATGAGTAGGTCCGAATTGATCCAAAATATAAATATGGACGACAATGCCACTGTATGTTTAAAATAAAACAAATCTTTTTATAAAAACAAATATTTTCATTAAAATAACAAAAGCTTATAGTGTATAAAAATGATTTTCGAAATTATCAGAATTCAGTCATTTTATATGGACAAGTATATGACCAAACTCATATAGCAAATATTGCCATGATTTAAATAATATGTCTATAGTTCACTGCACATCGTACGATGGCTGCATTTTAATAAGCTACCTGTTTGATTTTTCGAAAATTGATATATATGTTACCGTTAGCGATATCAATACAGTAACTATCAAAGTATGGATTCAAAGTCAAGGTAAGATAAAGGTATTATGTCCTTCCAAATATAATCGTATTTTTTTTGTACATGACGACTATACTCTGAACAATTTAAACGGACAAAATTTATTACTTATTGCTGAAGTAATGTATCTCAATAAAATTTAAAATACATTCCTGTTAATACATGTGCTTATGGACGTTTATATTTGACTTTTTTGAGTTTTAATCAATCGTTTAAAAAAAGATATAGTTAAGCATTTACCATGTTTACGTCTTGGATACTCAATTATACCAAATGTATATACATGTATATTTGTTGGCATATCCAAGTCGATATATACATGTATATCATTTCGATTTTTCATTCATATGAGGTAGAATTCATACAAGAGGTTAATATTATTTATAAATTACAATTTCCGCCATACAGATGGTGTTCTCTCACTTAATAAATAAAAGTTTTTAACACGATTCACCAGCGCCTGCATATGAAGTATAAAGGTTAAAAAGCAGGTTGAAAAACGATATGTGTACATTGTTGGTTCACCAAAACAAATGCATTGTCAATATCAAAACAGAAAAAGTTCGACGAGCCTAGCTTTTCTCCTTGGTTGGAAAGCTAATGATAAAAAAATCAAACATTTGTCGACAATGGCAATTTATTTTAGTGTACCTGTAGTGTATTCCTACTAAATGAACTTATTTGATCTACCTGTGAAGTGGATGAATGGTTCCGAAATTATTTACCTAATATTACTGTTCAATATCCATTTAAATCATACTATATGCAATCATTAGGTTGTCTGCTAATACAATTACGGGATATGTATTAGATACAATACAAAGGTAACAAAGAAACAGGCCGGTAACAACCGTTGCCGGATAGTTTTTCTGCACGAGTAGTCAGGTCAAGGTCCGGGGCGATAGCAGAAAAACTATACGGCAGGTTGTTTCCGGCCTGTTTTTTTGTTACCTTTGTTTTGTATCTGACCTGTACGACGTTTCAAGAAAGAAGTAGTACATTTTGGATTTAGAAGAGGTAGCAAAACTAAAGATATCAGAAACTTAAATGGTCATATACCAGTTAATGTACGTTACAGTTTAAACATATACTTTCTTCACTTCCCTACAGCCAAGAGTTTTTTTTCACAAAAAAATCAAGAATCTATTAACTTTATGAAAAGAACAATTTCAAGTAAAAGGTGAATGTTGTACACATTGGAGACTTTTTAAAATGCAACTTCGCAAGTGAGTAATGTATTAAAAAGATTTCAGAGGTAAGCAAGCTTCCATTTGATTTTAATTGGGGAAAAACGGAAAATGGGGTGGGGGGTGAAATGAATTTAAAATAAACATGCTTCATCTTTTTTGGTTGAAAATTTCAGGATTTGTCATTCCATCCCACCCTCCCATTCCTCTTTAAAAAAAATCGTTCGTTTGCCGCCAAATAAACGAACTAGTATATATGATGTGTATAAATATAAATGTATCAAAATAATGAATTTACTATCTCATTAGTGAATGATGTGAAAAAAATGGATTTTGTCTTGTTCATTATTAGATATATATGGGCATATATTTTGGATTTTTTTTTTAAGTTCAGTTTTTTTTTTATTCCTCTGATAGTGCTGATCATGATAACAAACACGTGTCACTATATGATCCAATCGCAGCTTACCGTCCAAAATTGATGACATAAGTTGGAAGATCATCTTCAAGATTTGCTGCATATTTGAACATGTATTATGTTCCATGAACACTTTTTATCTATAAGACCAATTGTGCATTGGTGAGTTGATAGGGATTTTACCTTTTGATTAGATTTGATATTTTTATATATATTTCCTTTCTTTTTTATTGGTGTATAATACCGCAGTCACACTAGGCCACGATTGCACTACGATCTATGAAAAAAATTAAAATTTTGACAATCGTAGTGCGATCGTGTAGATCGCAGTAAGGTCGTGGTACGGTCGAGGTACAGTCGCGGGTAGGTCTTCATGATCGTGATGAGCGTGGCCAACTTTGAACATGCTTAAAAGAATAGTGGTGCGGTCGTGTCGAAATCAGGTCGTAGTAGAAGCGTAGTGAGAGCGCAGTAAGGTCGTGGTAAGATCGCAAAGGTCGCTGTACTATCGTGGCGAGAGCGTAGCGAAAGCGCGATTCTAGTCGGAGAGACTTCTCTACGATCTCACAGCGACGTTTCCACGACCTCACTACGACCATCACGTTTTCACCGCGACCCAACCACGCTTCTAGTACGACTATACCATGTTTATACCACGCTGTTGAAGACCTAAATACGATTTTAGCACGCTCATCCCGTCCTCATCACGCTCTTCTTACGACTTGACTACGCACATACTACGACCATTTCGAGTTCTAGTCATTTTCATTGTCATTGTCACATAAAATATATAAAAGCTCTGGTTTTGTTTGAAACATTAATTTCAATTGAACCATGGAACCATGGAACACAAGACCATGTACATGTTGTAATGCTTCTACAATAATTAACACAGATACAAAATCTTAACGAACAGGCCATGATAATGTTATTGAGCGAGCGAAGGAGAAGAAGAAGTTTTAGACGGCGCAGGTCCTGTTGGGTTCATCCTTGGTTATCAACCAAAAGGAGACTCCAGTTTGGTCATTATGATCAGTTGATGAACGAGCTACGAATTAATTTGATCTTGATGGACCAGCAATACGTTGTGATTCATGTTGGATTGGTTGGTACGACATTTTTACTGGATCAGGATTCGTATCAGAGGCCCATCTTTCGATACCGCTACCCCTACCACTACGCCCACGAGTTCTGGTAGATTTTGGTAGGATGACTGTGTTGTTTCCATGAAATCTACGTATTAATGAGAAATAGATGGAATAGAACAGTTTTATATGGAATTTCACGTTATTGCTGAGAGCGTAGTAAGATCGCGCTATACACGTGGTATGATCCTAGTATGGTCGTGGTAAGAGCTTGCTATAATCGCAGTAGAAGCGTGGATAGATCGTATTACTCGGATATGGTCGTAGTGAGAACGTGATGGGCGTAGTAAGATCGTGATAATCGTAGTGAGGTCGCAGAATAAGATAGGTGAAAGCGTGGTATAAACGTAGCGGGATCGTTGTAGAAGCGTAAAGAGGTCGCAATAGAATCGTGAAAACAACGAAAATTTACATTCTCTTGCCGCTCATACTGCGACCTCACCACGATCTGAATTAATTTTAGATCGCGGTGAGTGTGGTGCGATCGTGGTCTAGTGTGACTGGGGCTTTAACGTTGGTACCAGCTTTAATTTCTTTACTTTCAGCATTGTTCAGAATACTATTCATGTCCATATATTGAAAAAACACAGTTACGGACCAACCATTTAGCTTCAAAAAAGGGTTATGTTCTTTTCTGAGTAAGAAAATTATTTAGTTTTTTCAACGCTATCACACATTTTTTTTTTCGTAATAAGCACTATTATATACGGTATTCGAACAATCAGGAATCAGAAAATTATTTTGTCATCTGCTTGACCACATTATATTTTTTCTCATAAAATTGGGGATAAAAATATTTTTTAAGAGAAAAATCATAACCCCTCTTTTGAAGTTAAATGGTCAATCCCTTAGTGTACTGATATGAAGATTCATTTACTGGAATTGTTTTGAATACACTATTTATTGATGCTAAAGAAAATATTTTAATAAAAAAGTTCGAATCTAATTGCAACTTAAAGTGCCCATGATCTCACTGATCATGCACGGGTGATTCTATTCATAAAAAGAGTCCGGTAACAACTAAAAAGTGTCCGTGTATCACCTTAAAAGAGTCCGTGTAACACCCGTTAAAGTACTGTTTTTCTATAGCTCTGCTGGGGGCAAAGTCGTACAAGACAATTTGTCGGAATTAAAGTCGCATCTTTTAGCCATTTACATTCAGAAGGATTTCTTTTTTTCAACTATATCGACCTGTTTCAAACAATTCAAAAAATTGAGTGCATTTATCTAAATTGATTCATGAACTTTACGTTCATCTTACATTTTTTATATGCAAAAATATAAATTAGATATTGAAAAGTATTTCCTCAATGTCGTGAACAGTGGTAAAGTTTGAAAAGTCATTGAACAAATTAGTTTAAGATAGATATTGCCTATTGTTTGGACACGAAAAACAAAATTATTATACAATTTGCGTGTATATATGTTTTCCAACTTCTAACATCTCACAATAAATGTTTTTTAAATCAAAACGGAATTTATACCCTAAAATAACTGTAAAAAATGAACTTATGCACATAAGGTTTACGAGCTTTCAAATCTTCTAATCTGTTGGCAAGTCTTTATAATCATGGGAACATTCCAACAGAACAATAAAGAATTGGTTGTTTGCCCATGTGGATACCAAAATTTCAAATATAATCATTTTTAGTTTGTCATTTCTCTTATATTCTGAAGTGACTGTAAACGTTACTAAGGGAGGGACGAAAGATACCAGAGGGACAGTCAAACTCATAGATCGAAAACAAACTGACAACGCCATGGCCAAAAATAAAAAGACAAACAGACAAATAATAGTACAGATGACACAACATAGAAAACTAAAGACTAAGCAACACGAACCCTACCAAAAACTGGGGGTGATCTCAAACTATACTTATACTAAGATGATAGAGTAAAGACATTTGTTTCCTTCGGAGGCAGAGATACTTAAAAACAATTTATGGAATGCATTGAATTTAATATTTGTCAACTTTTCAAAACTAATAGACAAAACATCCGGCTTGTGATGGCGAGATATGACGATGCTTCTATTCAACTGATGACAAAACGTTAAACTATGGGGTTTCTATTATTAAAACGACGAGATATATTCATATATCACATACGAATATTTAGATAATTGCGAGTTTATTATTAATAAATTAAATTTACAATCGATTTTCCTACTTAAAAACTATTATTTTACTCCAAATTTAACCAAATGGCTCCGCTGTGAAAGCCTCACTGTGACTTTGGGATGCAGAACCGTAATAAAAGCGCTGTTTCTCTGCATTTTGTATGTTGTTTTTGTGCATGTACTGATTTTGTGTCATGAATGGATACCCATATCCTTTGTTTTTTTTTTTCTACTGAGTGATGCTACTTATATTATAGGAGATTATTTTTTTTAAACAAGATTTATATTTATGGAGATCATTTAAGTGAATATATTATCATTATCTATTTTAGAAATATCTGGTGAATATGGACAAGATTGGCAAAAAAATAAACAACTGGCAACTACCAGTTTTTGCTTTGGGTCCGCATGAACAGGATTTGGATGCATTGATACGTGGAAGCTGGTTTTCCAGTTGTATGAATATAAACGACACAGAATGGGAGAAACACTGCGAAACAACCGATGAAGTATTAAGATGTGTAATGACACATGTCAAGAAATTTGCAAATGAAAATTTTGAAGGTCTTATCATCAATGATGACGTAGTCCGATTTGGAAGTTCGAGGGATGGGTTAAAGGTCATCGATGCTTTAGAGTTTGATTGCATACTTTTGTTTGATATAAGTGGAATGATAGTGTCGAAAGAGTTGGCAAGATATAATTCCTCTGAGGAAATTCTTGGCATGATGAAACTTTGTGTCAATAATGCTAAATATCTTATATCAAGATTTCCTTGGATAGAAAAGACAGAAATATTTAAAAAGTTTGCAAATGGAAAGTACTTCTTAAACACAAAAAACTTGCAGGAGAAAGTTTTCAAATCTATAATTGACAAAACACGAAAAGTGATAAATGACCAATTACATGATATACACAGTCCTTTTTTTATTCGCCGTACCTCAAAACCCCCTACATTTGATATCAACATAACGCTAAACAAAGAAAAAGATATTACTGATCTTCGTGACGACATCAGATTGGTACAAGGGGTGCATGTGGCAATAGAGTCCGATAAAAAACCAAGCCTTGATATTGATTTTGTCCCAGCATTTCATTTACGGAATGATCGTGTTCCCAACCCATATACTGAAAAATTACCTCATGGATTTGGAATTGAACAAATGAACTGTCAAGTTTATGCTGTAATGAAGTGGGCACATCGCAGCACAGAAGCCTCCTCAACGTTTGACAGTGATTGTTTATGGAGAGAATGTACGTCTGGATATGAAAAACAGATACTTGATATTTGTAGACGAAACAACAGTCAAAGATACCTTATGACTGCTTGTCGTTTGCTGAAATCGTATGTAGCCAATCAGCATAAAACAAATCAGATAAGATCAGTTGCTGCATCTCAACATTTAAAGACTATTTGTTTCTACTGCGTTACTTTTCTTACAACACCAAGCGACCATAATTCACTATCTGGTTTGAAAGAGGCTCTAGGATATTTTCTCTTTTTTCTTGGTCTATGCATAGAAAGCAAAAACCTGCCTCATTTCTTCTTTGGAAATCCATGGTTATGCACTCACTTTCCTCATAGCTCGTTTGGGCATGGTCAAAAACAGAAGAACCTTTATAGCTCTGTTAAATGGGAAACCTATAGACAAGCTTCATTAAGCTATACAAATATGCTAGATGATTTGAAAGGACTTTATACTGAGTCTTGTCAGCTAGATACTTATCGCATAGAACAATTCAAAGAACATTTGGGTTTGAAACACACCTACAGAAAGCCAAAATTTGAACTAATTACTAGTAAATTATATTCAGTATGGGAATTATGCATTTGCTTAACTATACTCATGCTGAAATTAAAAACATTTATTTACTTAACAATACTATTACCTTTCATCATAGCTATTACAATGACCTACATTCTCTCTTGTTCTCTTACTGTTCTGTTATTTCTTTTGCTTGTTCATTGTTATTCATTTGACTTGTTCACTTTCATGTTTTGGACTTTTTCTGTGTTATCTTTTGTCATTTTATTTGAACCAATTACTAGTACATTATATTCAGTATGGAAATTATGTATTTGCTTAACTATACTTATTCTCAAATTAAAAACATTTATTTACTTTACAATACTATTACCATTCATCATAGCTATTACAATGACCTACATTCTCTCTTGTTCTCTTACTGTTCTGTTATTTCTTTTGCTTGCTCATTGTTATGCATTTAACTTGTTCACTTTCGTGTTATGGACTTTTTCTATGTTATCTTTCGTCATTTTATACTCTAATAGGGTATAGTATATGCCCTCATACATGTTTTAAGCGCAAAAATGTGATGTGTTTATTAAAAAAGATATAAAATTTGAAACAATTAGTTTTATGCCACCATGTCCGGGAAATGATATATTTCAAAGTTTCCCCGTCAGTTATTCGCTTTTTTTTCTTCCTGACTTAAGATATTACACCTGTAATCGTATTTTATGTAGATAAAGTATTCGTGTCGGAGTGACTGCAGATCTTGGTTTCAATAACCGTAAAAATAACTGTCAAGCAATAACGGCTGTATAGCAATTGATTCACATGGTTTTCGTCTGGTTGAGCACACTAAAGAATGTTCTAGAGAAAGTGAGCTTAATATCTATAAATTGATATTACAATTCTAAATATATTTATTTTCGATATTGTTCAACATTTAGTTACTTTAAAACTCAAAAATCTAAAAATTAAGATTCCTGAGACTGTATTGATAGGAAAACACCTACCATTGTCCGTGAGATAATTTTATCATATCTTTGTTAACTGATCAGACATAGTTTACGATTAATTAACATAAGGACAATCTTTTTGAATTTTTATTACTGATTTGTTGTCACCTATCAGAGTCATCACAAGGCATAACAAAAGAACTTAGTTGAAGGCCCTACAGTGACCAATAGTTGATTATTTCTGTGTCATTTGGTCTCTTGTGCAGCATTGTCTCATTGGCAATCATACCACATCTTCTTTTTTTATGCATATACTATATGATATGGGATGATTAAACTAATTAAAAAGTAAATAGATATAAAAAGATGTGGTATGAGTGCCAATGAGACAACTCTCGATCCAAGTCACAATTAATAAAAGTAAACCATCATAGGTCAAAGTCCGGTCTTCAACACGGAGCCTTGGCTCACACCGAACAGCAAGCTATAAAGGGCCCCAAAAATTACTAGTGTAAAACCATTTACAATGGAAAACCAACGGTCTAATCTATATAAAAAACGAGAAACGAGAAACACTTATGAACCACAGGTGCAAACAATTGCAGCGGGTTTAAACGTGTTAATGGTACCAAACCTCCAACCTTATCTGAAACAATAGGGTAACATCACAACAAAGAAAGACACACTATAAAATATCAATTGAAATGGCTTAACTCAATCAAAAGACATATTAACACAAGTGAACATACACTGAACGAATAAATTTGATCTATGATACAATGTAAATACAAAATCAATAAAATAAGGGATGAATAATTAAAGTAACAGTATTATCCCAGTCAACAGACTAACAGTGGGCCAACGTTGGCAAATTGTCGGTTCGTTGGACGATCGTTGGTGTTGACTGCACAACATTAGCCCAACGTTGGCAAATTGTCGGTCCGTTGGTCGCAAATTGATGTTGGCTGCACATCATTGACCCAACGTTGACAAATTGTCGGTCCGTTGGTCGTACGTTGGTGTTGACTGCACAACATTGATCCGACGTTGGCCTGCTGTTGTAAATCCATATTATTATCTCGTGTTGGTTATAAATAATCGGGCTAATGTTGGCATTATGTTAGTAGCAACATAGGGCCGATATGAAATTTTGTTAATAAAAATTGATTATGAAATATTTTACGCTTTATTTCTCTTGGGAGGCGGATAATTTCGTTTGCTGCATGCTTTATGAAAAGTTACTGTTATACCGAAAGTGTTTATCAACTGAAACTACATTTACAACTCTATGTTGGGCCAATGCTGGGCCAACGTTGATCATATATTATACTCTGTATATAAGCCAGGTAAAATTTATACTGTTTATTGCAATCATTATTTATTATAAATTTATTCATTAAACTTTGTGAAACATAATAATTTAGCAATTATATACAGAGTGATATTTGATACAGCCAGTCTGTTAATCAAGCACATTCTGATAAGGTTGACCATATGTTTAACAAATTTCAAAGATAGTTGCTATGGTAATTAAGTTTATAGGAAATCTGAGTTAATGTAATGGGATGGTCACTTTTGTGGTTATTTCCTGTAACAGTTGTGTATTTGTAAGAAAGCAATGAAACGAAGAAAACAATGGAGAAAATCATATCATTTGAGGTTCAAAGAGAAAGAAAGTAACATGTAAGTTGTAACTTTAAAAAATCTGATATATATACAATTATGAATGACAAATACAATATGATTTTTTTATTCTGAGGGATGTTGTTCAAAATTAAAATTTCTAATTTCTATCATTTTAAAATGTTGATCTTGAAGTTTATACGTTTCGGGCGAAATATTTTCTAGATTTTAAATCATTTCAATCCTTTTAAATAATCATGAAATATTTGCCACTGAACATTAGTATCTTCAAACAAATTGTAAATTACCAATAGTTTAATATTTTATTTCTGAAATCTATAACGATAACATTTATTACCATTACTGAAGTTAATGGAAAAAATCAGTCGTAAGATGTACCTTGTTCCGTAATGTTTCAGAAATGTGGTATAATGATTTCTACTTCATTGAAATATAAATGAATTTGTTAGTTTTACTATTTCTAAATCGCATGCAAACATATACGATATAATTGTGAAACCTGATCATATACACACTTGCATGTGTAACAGTGTTTTAGATATCAAATAGAGTATTTATTTCTTAATCTTATTTCTTAATCTTATCTAAATTCATTGCAAGAATGTTGTAATTTATATATAATTATAAGGACTCGGCTAAATTTAGTTTTTTGTCCTCGGCAAAACTTTTGCAAAAATGGATATGTGAATAGTTTATAGGAGTAAATATCAGTCACAAAAAGCTGACGCTTGAAATATAAAAAAATAGAGGGGATGTAAAAAAAAAGACTATACCACACATACGGATATTTATAAAAGAAAAAGACTATAAAGATTATTGTCTGAATAACTTGAAGGAGCTTTTCTTTTTAATATACAATTTTACATTTTAATATAAATTTATAGGTCAGGTATTTGAGTACTACAGAAGACAAAATAAATCAGAATGAAAAAGGAAAAAAACTAGGAATAATAGGAATTATTGACAACATCCTGGCTAGAAAATGCATGGGAATGGGGATGGGAAAAAATGCATTCTACCATTTGAAAGCCCAGAATGAATAACTTTAAGAAAGTAAGTTAACATAATAGCCATCATTTATGCTTTATTCGGATTCGAATTTCCCAGATATACATGCATAAATAGTTTAATACTACCGTGAAGGCTAGTGTATTTAGATTTGACTTTGTATTTTTTTTTCAACTAGTTTTATTTATTTACTTAGAACGTTTTTTGACAAAGTTTACTGTATCCATTTCTACACTCAATTGTCCTGCTTAACCTAGCTAGCAAGGTGAAGTCTAGCCATTATGGTAGAGCATGCAATATGATTTTTTCCTTGGCTTGTATAGGCTAGGGAAAATATTTAAAACAGAGTATTTTTTCTAACTATTGCAATGCGCCAGGACACCGGAAACAATGATTTTTTTGTCTTTTTTTTTTTTTTTTTAGGAGGATTTAATATATTCTAAATATACATACATTGAGTACTCATTCATTCATAACTTTATTACAGAGGCAGTGAAATAACTTTTATGAAGATATGCTAAACTGGATAAAGGATTTAATATAAGACGGAGCCAGAAATAGTGACAAAACAAAGTGTAGCAGAAAACAAAAGGAACACTCTTGTGAATAAAAACCATGTTGGAATACAGAACTAGAAAAATAGCTGTATAAAATGAACTATTAATGCCTTCATACAGAGCTTGGATATTTCTACATAAACTGTAATGATATTATACAAATGGAATTAATGAATTATCATGAATAGGCTTTATAATTTTCATTCTAGATCTGATTTAGCAACGTATAGATACAAAAAAAGATTTTTATAAACTTTGCTGGTTGTCTAGCTAATAATAAATTATATTTAATCATACATTTGTATTTACATTATTTAAGAAAATTAGGTAACATGGATATGTTGATTGAATTCATTCAAATATGGGTAAAATTCAGAAGTACAATTCCTGGAGAGACTGATTGGTTGTTGGTTACTGAAACGTCCATTGACAAATATTTCATGCATGTTCAGGGAGATAGAGAGAAAGTGGCAAAATACAAAATTTTCGGGTAGTATAAAAGACACAACATGGTATAGTGGATCTAAAAAACGCAATAATTGCAACATTTTAAAAAATAATACTTTCGCCATTTTGAACGGATGTAAGAACCAGGAATTATTACAGTTGTTGCCTGGAAGGAATTTTAGTATCCTTCATATGGATAAAAAAAAGTTTACAGATTGAACCAACGGAGTGCCAACGTTTGCTAACAGTTTGTATTACTACGTTGGCCCAACGTTTGTTCAACATCGGCAAGTATTATTCCATCATTGGACCAACGTTGGGCCAATGTATTGTATAAAACCTTAACAATGTTGTGCCAACGGTTTAGTCATCACGTTGGGCCAACATAGGGCCACTTTGCACTTATACATTGGGCCAACGTTCAAAAACAACGTTGGGCCAATGCATGTAGATACGTTAGGCCAACGTTGTGCAAACGTACCAATGTTGTCTGGGATACAGCTGTGAAATGTTAAACAATTTCAGAAAAACAACAATAACATTGAACAAAAATCCGCCATTTACAATAATATTATACACAGGTAAATGAAAATATTTTTGTTGTTAGGTATACAGTTAAAATAGAGAAAGGAAACTTTTTACAAAATAAATAATTTTGATGTTCATAGTACAAAGAAGTGAAAATTTATAGTAATACCAAATACTTATCAAAGCTGGTATATAGACACGATATTACCCTGAATAAGTAAACATTAAATAACAAAAAAGCATTACAAATAGTATCAACAGGTCAAATTAACAGAAACGTACGATTTGAGGGTACTCGCAGTGTTCTTTTAGCTTAAGTGTTTCAAAGTTTCTGACATGGTATTTTTCTGTTCAAAATCTTTCCAATTATCGGATCATTATTATAGTGGAGTGACATTAACCCTAAAAT